ATGAGGGTTAGAAAACAAAACGGACTCTGTCAATCTCACCAGATTCATACTCACACCTGCATCACCTTTCTCCCATTACACTATCGTCCAGCACCTTCATAATCATCGTGCGCATCTTTCGGGATCCGACAAATGCACTACGTTTACTTGTTGCTTGTCACCAATCAGAGTTGAAAAGGAAAGAAAAGAAAGAAAAAAACCCAAAGCATGCCTTGTTTGTCATATTGTTTTCATACAATCATGTTTTTTACCTAAAAGAATATTTTTTGATCAATTACGCGAGATATACGTTAATGTTAAAAGAATGGTAAAAGAGATTTCTCCAAAGGTCAACATTCACAGTAAAAAAAAAAACCAATCGACAATCACATAAGTTTTTCTACACATTGACTACAAAAATAAAGTTCTTTATTTTTTAGAACTTCACTCATAAATCACAATAGGACAAGTAATTAAAATGGTAATTAAATTCATCATTTTTATTTTGATATTATTCTTTGAAAAACAAAACAGTTTGCATCTTTTGCAAAATTTCAATTTGACTATTTCGAGTGAAAAATATCGTAGTTAGTTATATTCACTTTATTTTAATTAGGCTAATGATGATGATGATGATGGTAGTGATATTAGTAATTATGACATTGATCTCATCGATCATAGTCCTTGTAAGTTATTATTCATATATAAGAATAGAAAAGATAGATTTATTGATGAATTTATTTATTTATTTTCAAGTTCCTAATGATTGTCAAAATGAAGTTCAGGGTATTGAATTTCTATGCCAATATTTTATGCATCGTTACAATGCTTGTCCAACTTTTTTGATTGGTTCTCTTGAAGAAGCATGTCAAGAAGCTTTCAGTTCAATAATAATTAAAGAAGTTAGTTCAAATCTATTTTGATAATTACACTAAGATGTATTTTATTTTAGCGTCGTCCAGTTCTCGTCTACATACATCATGATAAAAACTTATTAACAAATAGATTTTGTTGGAATATACTCTGTTCAGAAATGATTATTGATTATTTACTTGAAAATTATATTGTTTGGCCATGGGATATTACATTTGAATCAAATAGAAATATGTAAGTAATTTAATATTGATTGATTAACATAGGTTTTCATCTTAATCTTATTATCGAATAAAATTTTCTTATCATTGTTTTAATTCTTCCGCTAAAAAAAAAAGTTAATTTTTGTCAGAAAAGTCGAAATTGAAATAAATGCATTGAAAGATAGTCTGAAGTTTATTCTTTCATAAACGATATGAATTTTGTATTTGGCATCTCGTTTTTCTTTGCCAAAATATTCGACAATTTCTGTCACCTTCTCCTTGAATGAGAGTTCACAGAGGATTTCTGATTGTTAAATGAGATGTTCTTGGTCTTTATTTGATAAATATCTTCTGTGAATGTAATGATATAGAGCAGACAAATTAAGCATAGTCTTTATACTACAGACCCAACACACCTTAACAGTTTCATGCTTTTGAAGAGGAACCTTATATGACATATCTCTTTTCGTATTAACAAATATTTTACATGATTTATAGATTGATAAAAATCTGGAATAAGATCTTTCCAAGTCAAACTTCGATTGATTTTTCTCTTGAACAATGTCCAATGCTTATTGGTATAATGCGAGAATCTTTATATAAAAAAGATTCATCATCAACATCAGAATATGAATTTACAGTATTATTTAAAAATGAAACTTTGACAAGTACTGAGGAGACATTTAGTCTAAAATCAATACTCAACGAATTGTCTATATTTAAAGAAGAATGTGATGATAATGAACAAGCTTTAGTAAGTCATGGTAATTTATTTATTTATTTTTGTTTAATATTTAATAGAAATTGCTGAAAAGTTTTCATATCTACTATTAATTTCATTGTAGTCTTTCGATTTGATTCAAAAAACTAATCTTTCTTGGGAAGTTATTATTGAAATATGCAAATATCTCTCATTAAATGATGCAATTAATGCATTTTCTTCGAATATTTTATTTTTTCTACGTAAATTGAAAGCAAAAGTACATATTGTCGATATTAGTGAAACATTTATTAATACGATTCTTCGAAAAATCAAATCTAATCAAATAATTTCCTTGCGTCTGAATAGTGATGAATCGAAGTTGTATATGATATCGAACTATTTATCTTTGTTCAATAATGTGATCTCGCTTAATCTTGTTAATCTTGAAATTATACAACAAATCAGTGAATATGAAATATATTTTCCCAAGTTAACTTGTCTTTCTCTTTGTTATAACAATGAAATTGGTTTCAATTTATTACAAAATGTACTTTCTTATCTCCCAAAATCAATTAGACGATTTGAAATTCATTGTGCAGGTGTATTATGTACTCATTATGATATTGATGAATTCAATATAGAATCTATATACAACTTTAACATTGAATATTTTTTACTTGATATTGGTCAATTTCAATTGATTTCAGTCAAGGAATGCTATCAACATTATGAGTCATGTTTTTTCAATACAATCTATGATCTAATACAATGGATGCGCCGTATTCAATGTTTTCGTTTGATTACCAATAAATACAATGTGAAGAAATTGTTAGACATAGACCATTGGAAAAAATTTTTATATAAATGTAATTCATTGAATAAAATAATATTACAAGTGATTGGAGGTATATTAGATGATGATGGAATACAAGAAAAAGTACGGAAATTACAACTTGAATTTTTTTGTATACGACCAGCAGTCAAATTTCAAATTGTATACATGTAACTGATTGGATTTTATTGTTTTAATTTATATTTTTCACTAATAAATTTTCTTCGATGTTTGTTTTAAATAGAAACAAAAGTAAAATAAAATTATATTTATGTTAAATTGATGTTTTGGAATAACAAATATTTCTAAGTGAATACATTTCTGTTCTTCATATACTTTTATTTATTTCCTATTATATGATTTGTCTGTTCTGTCTTGTCTCTGTTCTCAATATTTTCTTTTTAATTGTTATTTATTATTATATTGAGATTGCCTAATTATAAAATATAAGCCGGATTTCCCAAAAGTTTATGCGGGAAATCAATGCAAATATTCTTTATATATTGCAAGCGATTTAATATCGTTTTTTTTACAATAATCTGATAGTATATTGTTTTAAGTTTTATTTCATATAATGTGGTTTATAACAAATGATTATCATCAACTGAAATACATAAATCCATCATTTTGGAAATCTTCAAAAGAAACATTGCAGAAAGTTTATTTTCGAATTAATTAATTTTCGTTAATAGTTCTGATTTTGAATTCAATCAAAATTTTGTACATGAATGAAAGAATACATTACTTGCTATTGTCCTTTGGATCAGAACAAAAACTTAAGTGACTTCAGGCTTTTTTGTTTCATTGTTAATGAAGTCTGCTTGTGTGGCAAAACAAATAAAAGAACGAAAGATATTTTCTCTAAAGAAACCGTATGATGCAAAAGAAAAAAGTCTCCATTAGCAATAAAAGCAGTTTATGCATAAAAGACATTGAATCATGTAAAAAATATCAATTGTTTACCTTCATAACTCTATTAATGATAGAATAAAAAAAATGTCAACAACTACTTCTTACATGAATTAATTATTTAAAAATATATACAAAATGATAGAGAATACAAAAAAGTATATTCTATTAGAATTTAAAAGATATAGAATCATGTTGATCCTAGATAGTCAATCAAACTTATTGATTGTGCTTCATATTGATTCATCTGTACAAGTTTCATCAACACCTACGTATTATGTGAAAGGCAGAAATGAAGAATAGACTACAGTATCCAAAAAAGTCAGCAAATCACATTCGGAAGGTGTTATAAAGAGATTTGGGATAAGCATTGCTCAAGTGTTTCTATGATTTCATTCTATTATCCGATCCAAAATAAAAGGCAAATTACCATTTTTCGAATAAATTTTGATAGGAACGAGATAGAGTGTTATGGTTTTCACCATTCAAAAGAGCGATATCCAGACCATCGATCAGTATGGAATTCATTAAGGCGAAAAATGCTTTTTTTAAAGGTATCTTTGGATCAATCCATTTTCCTTTGAGTATTTTGACAATAATCTCAACTCAAATTATGTCAAAATGTAGCTAATGTCATTCCTCTTTTCGCCATAAAATTAACAGTTGTTTTTTTAAAATCTGCTTAAAATAAGAAGTTGAGAGATAATGAAATATCTGATAACTTTATAGCGAAAAAAAGAATGATTTGAGCTACATTTTGATATAATTTGAGTTGAAATTATTGTGAAAATACTCAAAGAAAAAAGTGTTGATCCAAGGTAACTATAATAAAGCATCTTTTGTCTTAATGAATTCTATATCGATTGATGGTCTAGATATCGTTCTTTTGAATGGCGAAAATCGCAGCTCTCTATCTTGTTCCCATCAAAAATGATTCGAAAAATGGTAACTTGTCTTTTATTTTGGGTCGGATAATAATTTACTTACAATCAACGATTACATTATTAGTTATTGAATATTTTTTTAGTCAAAAATAACAATAATAAGATTGGATAAATGAAACAAAAGCGACTGTAAAAAATAGAAACAGTATACTGTACTTGTCCATAAGCAAAAAGAAGTTCCGTTAATTTCACCGAATCAGAACAAATTTTCGATGACACATCAATGTTGTTATAGAAGAAAAAAGTGGGAACTATTTTTAAAAAAGTGTAGATATCGATTTGATGTAGGGTGTTAGTGAACGAGAAGTTCACATTCATACCCATAATAGATTGCTTACCCGTATGTTCAGGAAATTTATTTGTAGATAAACGCATTTATTTTTCGAGATACTTTATTAGTAAGTTATTTTCAAACAAAAAAAAAATGAAAATTTTAGGTTAATGTATAAGTTCTTTTAAACAAACAAAGTAATTAAAACAAAAACTGTTCAAAATAAAACAATAAGATCAAGTTCTTATTTTGTTATTGTGTATGACATATATGGATTGAAAAACTGCTACGGATAAGTGAATGAGCCCATGAGAGTTATTGAATTATAATTACATACATAATAATCCCTTTGAGGAGACGTAAAATTTCGTGTAAAGTATAATGTAGTGCTAGTTGAACGCCTAACTTTAACTGTAGCTGTTATTCGATTTGATAAAGATGCATTTGGATTGAATTCATATGGTTCAAAACAGACATAATAGGTACCTGACAGTGGAACAGAACTACTATTTGACCAAAAGATATTTTCTGGTCCTGTTGTATTTTTATCATCTACGTCAAGATAGCCTTGTGTCGTATTGACTGATGGACCTTTATTATTCCAGTAAATAACACGATTATTTGGTGTTCTAAGCACAAGATCTCCGTCTCCAGGCCGAGACCATGTCAAAGTACATGAAAGATATCCAATACCTACACATACACCTGCTTCACATGTTTCTTGTGAGGTACATACTGTTGCGCAAGAAATGCCTAATAATAATCACAATAACTTCACAACTTATCTTTTTCAACATGTCTACCTGTTGTTGCTGTTGTTGTTGTTGTTATCGTAGAAGTTGATGTTGTTGAAGTTGATGTTGTTGAAGTTGATGTTGTAGAAGTTGATGTTGTAGAAGTTGATGTTGTAGAAGTTGATGTTGTTGATGTTGTTGAAGTTGATGTTGTAGAAGTCGATGTTGTAGAAGTTGATGTTGTTGAAGTTGATGTTGTTGAAGTTGATGTTGTTGATGTTGTTAAAGTTGATGTCGTTGTACCTAGAAATTTAGGACTCCACATGAATTCCTAAATGAACAATTTCGGCATTTGATACAAAAAAAAATAGAGTCAACAGGTTTTAGTTCAGATCACCAAAACAAAAAAAAACGTAAAGTTTCATTAGTAACATATGGAATCGATGTTTTTTTTACTTTCAGTGGCAGTAGTCAAAAATATTATTTATCTAATATGAGTTGGAATTACTTCAGCTTATTAAACATGTTTCGAAGCAACTTTTTGAAAATGAAACATAATAAAATCCAATGAGAGCATATGTATCCTACGTGTAGTTTATGATTCGATTGTGATCGTTTTGTGCAAAAGGATTTTTCATTAATGTTCTAAGTCTTGAAGGTAATTTCATTTAATATGAGTAAAACAAATCTTCCAATTACGAAATATTATAATAAATAACTAGAGATCGAATGTATTCAACAATATGAACTTACTTGATGAGGTCATGATAGAAGTAGTATTTGTCGTTGATGACATTTCATTCGTCATAGTTGAAAGTGTCACTATTATTGGAATAACAATTGACATAGTTAGTAACGCTATTAAAGCGAATCCAGCCAGTAATGACGAAAGACAAGTACAATTTGTTGATGGTAACCATGCTTTACCTCGCCTCCTGTAAATAATCGTTGTTCATTATTACAGAAGATATGAGATTACTTACGGATAATAATAATCATCTTTAGTATCTTCTCGTGAAAGAGGTGTAGAAGGAAGAGAAGGAGCTGTTGAAACAAGAGTGTATGATTGTACATCTTTAGTTCGATTAGCAGTTGCCATTTATGAATGATTGATCAACTAACAACAGTAAACTCAATGTTATTTTACTTTATTGTTCTCGATAAACTATACTGAAGTGTGCTTGCATCAACACACATTCTAACCAATGTTGTTAGTTTAACAATGAAAAGAAAACAAATGAATCCTATGTTTAACATATCAATACAACAATGCAACATCAATTGTGTTTGCTTGTAATACTACGTTCTTATATACTTGTTCTTTGTATAAATCAAATGTTGTTTTTTCATGTTTTCTCATTTTACGCTTTCATTTTTAGTTAGATCCAATTTAGTTGAATAAATACTTTTATGAATATGACAAAGAATTTATTAGGATTTATGCTTTTAAAATTCATAGTGATAAAAGTAGTATATACATTTTAACTTTTTTTCTTTTTTGTTTACACAAATAGAACACATATTAAGAGTTAAAGTTACGCGAGAGTTAATTCAAAGGTAATACATTCTGTAAAATTCTAAGTAGACAATAGAAATTATACGAAGTATGACCTGCATCAATATATTCTCTACTTTTGATTTAATTATATTATAGAGATATTGAAACACTGCTTCGCTACTTGGTTTTTACTAGAGCGTGAACCTAATTATGAGATGAAATAGTAAATTCAAATATTTTCTTCTACAATAGTTTTTCATTCCAAGATAGATGAACTATAATCGTATTGTCAAAATATACGAGAGATTCGTTCGCTAATATGTCGAATCACAGCTATGAACTAAGCTTTGCATCTGTTTACACATAATAAAAATATAATGATAAAAACTTGGAAAAAGTGAGAATAAATGACAGAAAAACAGAAACTACAAAATGATTTTGCCGATAGTGGATGCTCGTAAGTGATCATTCTTGAAAAATCTGTGAATTGAAAAGTTTCTAACATATTCGTGTTGTGAGAAAAGTCATTATATGTTATCGTTAATGATTTCTTTTTTGTAAAACAAAATTTCCAATATAGACGATTAAACCCCGTTCGACATTAAAAGAAGATTCCGAGATCTTTTAATCTAATTTTCAGGTAAAAATTTTCAAAAAGTTTTTAAAGTCAATTCTTATATTCTATACCACCATTTTCGCGAAAAGCTCCCCAGTAAATATTAACGGGTAGTGCAAAAGTTTTGCATTAAGTTTGTTTTTGCTGCTGCTCTGCAAAGAAACATCATTAAACTTTTATTGTTGTTTTTGATTGAGAAAGGGAAGCTCTAAGATTACGTGGTTCAACTTTCTATGGAGACGCTTTCGGTAGTAGCTTAAAAACCATCGTAATTTTTTTAAGAAAAAAAGGTTATAATTATTCAACCATATATCGAATTATCCAAAGATGCAAACAATTTAAAACAACAAAAGATCTACCAAGGGCTGGTAGTCCACGTAAACTAGGGTGGGAGTGTTGTTATTCTCTTCTTGTACTCATACCGTAGTTTACGTGGAAGACCAGCCCTTGGTAAGTCTTTTGTTTGTATTTTTAGATAATTCGATATATGGTTGAATAATTATAACCGTTTTTTTAAAACAAAAATTACAGATGGTTTTTAAGCTGCCATCAGAAGCGTTTTCATAGAAAGTTGAAACATGTAATCTTAGGTCTTCTTTTTTGTCCTTTTTCATCTGAAGAAAAACAAACACAAATAAGCATTGAAAAGTACATGTATATGTACTTTAGACTATGCTCGTTCTATCAAAAAAATAAAAATAAGAATTTAATGATGTTTCTTTGCAGAGCAGCAGCAAAAACAAACTTAATGCAAAGCTATTGCACTATCCGTTACACGTTGGTCGTTCTTTCGTTTTGTCCCGCTGCTTGTCAATTGAAATAAATACGACATCTTTTTTTGTTACATCGTTCTAACTGGCTGATGCTTTATATTTCAGCAAACGTGAACGTGACTGACGAAAACATGTCACAAGTCTATGAGCTCTGTCCAAATAGAGGATTTTGTATAAGCAAGCTAAGAATACAAAAAACATTCCTTTAGCGTATCTTCATCAGTATTTAGGTAAGCTCTAGGGCATATGAGCAGATCGACTGTTATTTTTATGAGAAGTTAATAAGTTAGTTACTGTTAAAAAGACAATCACGCTTGGAAAAGTGTGAAAAATCTGACGCGTTTTTACGAATGGCTGAAATATAACGAAAGTTCATAAAATTTTCTTCGTGAAACTTCGCTAATTTGTCGTTTAACGGAATCTTTGACGTTAATTTCAATAACCATTTCGTTAAATGCCTTTTTAATTTTTACATGGGTGGTATATTTACACCAAAGTATGGTTAGTTTTCACGATTTTGAGCTGAAAATCTCAAAAGACTGATGTCAACGTTATTTCTTGGCTTTTAAAATCCATTGTATGAAAAATTTTGAAAATAAATAGGACACCGTAGAAGTCCTCTCCTGAAAACGCTATGCTCTTAGACATAACAGAACACCTGAATCCTTCTATTGGAATTTAGGGGCTAACTCTATAAGCCGAAAAGCTTTCAAACTTTTTTTATTACACCAAATAAAAGAATAGTAGATGCGCTTGAATCTACTTTCTATGTTAAGATTGTAATGTTGTTGTTTTTAAGTGAAAGAACACATTAATTGCTATTGTATTTTGCATCGGAACAAAAACTAAAGCGACTTCAGGCTTTTTTATTTCATTGTTAATGAAGTCTGCTTTTGTGGCAAAGCAAGCAAAAGAACGAAAAATATTCTCTTCAACGAAACCGTATGATGCAAAAGAAAAAAGTCTCCATTAGCAATAAAAGCAGTTTATGCATAAAAGACATTAAATCATGCAAAAAATATCAATTGTTTACCTTCATAACTCTGTTAATAATACAATAAAAAACTGTCAACAACTACTTCTTACACGAATGAATTATTTAAAAATATATACAAAATGACAGAGAATGCAAAAAAGTATATTCGATTGGTATTTAAAAGATATAGAATCATGTTGATCCTAGATAGTCAATCAAATTTGTTGATTGTGCTTCATATTGATTCATCTGTACAAGTTTCATTAACATGTACATATTATGTGAAAGGAAGAGATGAAGAATAGACTACAGTATCCAAAAAAATCAGCAAACCACATTCGGAAGGTATTGCTAAGAGACTCGAATAAACATTGTTCTAGTGTTTCTGTGATTCCATTCTAGTTTGAGTACGACATACAGATTCTTTACGATTAGTGACGACTAGACATATGTTCCTTTTTTCTTAATACTCATCTATAAATTTTTTTTTCGCAAGTCAAAATCGTAAAGGAAGATATAGATGAATACATAATACAAGCTTTACAGGCTCAAAGGAAACAAAATAAGTCATTATAGATTTGAACAACAATAGAGAGTTAACATTTATCATATGAGTGAGATAGGAAAAGTATTATAATGACTGAACTCAATGGTCAATTTGCTTATTCACAAATATAAATCGACTGTTTATTTCGATTATAATTTTCTTCAATAGATAAGAATGAATTCATGTCGTATTATAAGAAAAAAATATTTAAAAAGTGATTTTTGATTAGATTTCATGCGTGCATTACAAGGACATTGTGTAATAAACAGGGTTTTGACATGATATATCAGGAAATGTTTTCTATATTAACGATTGAGCAAGACACAACGTGCGTAGAATATTGATTTAATGGATTTATTTGAATTATTTATTCGTGATGTTCGCAAGCAAATATCAATCATCGTCAGCATTTTATTTCTATTAAAATGAATTCGTGTCAAAAATGAAAGTTCAACAATTGAACAATGCCATGCAATAACTGATTTCAATGAATTAATTTCTTTCGATAATTTTCGATTGTGAAATGACTGTTGCTCCTTCGTAAGTGAGGTGATCTTTTTCGTAAAATTCAATAGCATTGCATTACGAGGACTTTCCAATTCTAAGTTCTCATTCTATATTACGCGAATTTTCCATTCGTTTCCGACAGAATGTCAAGATTTGTATCATCAGCCTAAATAATCAATTTACTATTCTACAGCTACGTCAAAAGTAAAAGTACATCTTAGACGAAGAGTAATTGTTTTAGTACAAGTTCGTCGGAGAATTCAATAGGAACACACTACAAGCTTACTCTAAATTTCCTCAAATCAAACGACAAGATTTCTCACTTCTTTCTCTGTTGTCCTTCATTCATTTCTGATTCGACATATTTATTTATAGACATCGTAAAAAAGAATCAAATGTTCCGAGTAGATAATAACAACAGTACTATTTTTTATGAATCGGTGAAAAAAAATGTACGGATTCGATATATTAATATGTATTTATTATATGTAAGGTCAATCAAGTTGGGATACAAAAAGAAAATCAAGACTATTATATTGGCTTGTTTACAAACATTATTTATCTTTAAATTGAAGCGAAATTGGATAATGATCAGAAATATCACCGATATCATCGTAAACAATGGCTGGACACATGGCTGAGTCTTTAATTGATGCCGAGACGACAAAATGATCGATCCATATTTTGTTGCGAGTGCCATCCTGATTTAAACCAACTCTAGTAGGCTGCTCAGTTGTGACAGGAAACAATAGAGTGAAAGCTGACTTACCAACTGTAACTTCAGCAATCATTTTCATGAAGACATCAGAATTGCGATTCATATCACCAACACATACAAATCGATTGTTATTTTCAGGCCATGGGATATTGTTCAGCAATAGAGTAGCTGCTTTATTGTCATATGGCACATGCACATTTACAACAGTTAGGCCAGATACAGTTGTCAAAATAAGAGCACCTTTGCCAGCATCAATAGGACAGGGTATCCAGACAACTCGATCATCAGATAGAAGACATTTGTCTGTATTCATCAATCCGGTTGCTTTCTCGGTAGAGATAATACTCGGATTATAATGGATCGTGACAAGACTCTCATTCGAATCAATGTAAGGAGAGTTATTCTGGCTATTTCTAACGTATGGTTTACGCGAGTAAGTGTATGTGTGAATCAATGGTTTACTTGTTAAGACTGAGCCAATACGAGAATCGGACATTTCACGTAACATTGGTAGTAAATCACCGGGAACTTCTTGCAGACAGATGAAGCACTCTATGGTGGAATAGTTAATTAACAACTGACTTAATATTTTTATAATGTCATTAAGTCGTTGTTTTTCATTGGATCGATTTTCATTAAGTAAATAACGATTAATCACAGGACTTGTGTTTTGCGAATAGTTCAATTCATGAATCATATGCAATACGTTCCAGCTAATAATAACGAAATTTTGCCGTAGTTTTGAAGTCGATTTGCCAATGTTGTTATTAGCAGACCATTCCATTGTAGTCGCCATAGATGAAAGAAGTGAAGTATTATAAACGAAAATTCTACAATGAAATTCTATTTTAATTTTCCTACTTGGTCTTTGATCGTGTCAGATACTTTTTCTTAACAATATCAGCTGGTAGTCACTGAACAAGAACAGAAAAAAAACACATTTTTTTACCGAAGGTTGTGTTCTGTAAGAGTATAATTGAAATCCATAAAACGGATTACAATGTTATGATAAACTATTTCCTAATATAAGTTTTAATCAATCACAAACCAAGTTCTTACGCTTCTAAACTCTACCTGTTTACATTGTATAAAAAAATATGTCACAAAATGATTTTATTATACACAAAAATCATGTCTTATGAAATTATGAGTAAGTCATGCGTCATTATTTACTTTGTTCTTCGAAAAAAAAATATCACACTTTTTTCCTATGTCTGTGTGCAAAAAGATTTATCATAGCAATCGAAAGAATGGCAAAAACCTCAAAGACATAAAAGAACATTTATCAAAAAGTTGCAACTATAACATTACCAAGTACGAGAGAATGAGTTTTTTGTTATGAACTAATTTTTAATATTTATAATTAAGCGGCACAAAAATAATTTTCTGAAATGAATCGATCGTATATCGTATTAAGAGTTCAACCGATTGTTAATATAAAGTAACATCATTGTGACTAATATTTTTCTTCCGTATTAGTTATGATCATTTTTGACTTTTTTTTTTGATATAAAAACCTCATCATTTGTAGAATTTCTTGGCCTTTTAATAATTTTCAACATCATTTGATATTCTTCAGATAAAACACATCTAATAACAAAACAGATTTGTCTTCATTGAATTCTTCGAGAAGCAAAATGGGTTTATTGTTGTTTTCTATTTGACAAGTGAATGACGATACGAATAAAAAAAACCATGCCTTTTTCTTCTCTTTTCTATATGTTTCAGATAGAATATCAACCATTACTCATTTCATTTTGTTTTAATATGGAGAGACTTTTTCATTAAAGAAACGTACGATAGCTACCTCTATTGCTAAAATAATACAAATTTTTATGTTTTTACCCAACTCTGTTCTTTGCGATTAGTGACAGACAAACCGAAAATGATACGACGCACAGGAAAGTTTGCTTTCGAATCTTTTAAATTCGATGAGATAACCTGTAGAATTATTAGAACAGTTCGCGATATGGAAAGCTAATCTGATTTAAAAAAGCAACAATGAATTAGAAAACCTGTAATGTGAAAAACAATTTTAGATAAATATTGAAGTACAACGTAAAAACTTTGGACTTTTTCCCTTGCTTTGTTACAGGCATGTCAATATGTTATTTTGAACTTTGAATACATTTAAAGTTCCAAAGTTCTATAAGTCAACTTCTCTTCTTTGATATATGGTCTTTCAGCCCTGTTGTATATTTATTTTGTAATTAATATAGCAAAGATCTCTATGCACAAATGATGAAACTTCATCATCTTTTACATGTTACTCCCGCATGAATTTTGGTGAACTCTTGAAGACACATAAATTAGATTTTCCTTATTTATACATCAATCCAAATTGAGAAAAATTCGCAGTATTTTCAACTATTAAGAAATTCTCTCACAGAAAATCTGAAATATATTCGCTTTTTATTCTTTTCTTGTTTATAATTATATACTAAAGATAATACAGACATATGTATGGTAATGGAAATATCACGAGTACATAATGTGTAGAGAATGTGATAGATTATAACTTGTTTTTCTTTGCAGATATTCATTCTAATAAAATTCTTTCTCAAAATATGAACCACTATGCAAAAAAAAAAGATTTCACGTAGCTTTTGTTGGAAAGGTTTGTTTTTGAAAATAGTGACCTCTTAAATCAAAGACATCAGAAATCTAAACGCAATAGAAAGAACAAAGTATGCTAAGATTTCCAAGGAAAGAAAAGCAAATTTTGTAATTTCCACAAAAGTTTACAGGATTTATCTTTTCAAGATTTTTTCTATAAATCTCATCACGTATTTTATCATCAAATGAAAGGAGTTATATCGGAGACAAACTTCTGACTGAGAGTGATGGCGACGGATCAACTAATGATAAAAGCTATCTCTTCAGAACTACAGTTCTCTTTTAGTGAAGTTAAAATGTTTGGGCGCAAAGTGAGGAAGACACGTCAACTATTGCACAGAGAAATCTTTTTTTTTCACGTTTTGTTAAATAGCAGTTCATTATTTCAAAAGAATGATAATTATTAATTATAGAAATTAAATGTATTCGTGTAGTATCAATCTAAAGTTGATAGTCGTTATGCGGGTGATCACATTCAGATGATGAAAATTTCTGCATCGGTATTGTTATTAGATTGAGCTCAATGATGATGTACTCTGAGTGTATTTGAAAACTAAGTTGTAACAGTCAAGATGATCTCTAGATTATTTTTTCTAACTAAATAGGCTGTAAAAAAGTATTGAGCAAAACATATTTCGCATAGGTACATGTATTCAGGATCGATTTTAATCTTGCTACTGTAAAACTAGATTCTTCCATTTTTTATACTCTCTAAATGTATAATCTACAAGAAGAATTTTATAGAAAGCAAAAAGATTGGCAACTAATTCTATACCTTCGAAAGTTTGAATGAATTAGCAGAGAACAAAAAGTTATTAAAGATTTTTATTTTCGGAATCATTGATTTTTTTCTTAAGCAAATAATTTTAGATTTGAGTTCCATATTCTTCTCTCATTTGTCGTAATTTTTCAATGAGTCCTTCAATTCCTTTGATGGCACGACCATTCTCAAATGTTACTCGTTTGCTACCCTCTGTCCAATTAACTTGAATCCATTCTGCTCCACCATCAGCGCAATCAGGACATCCAATTCTATCGCCCAATGCTTCAAATACGTTCAAATTAAGAAGAGAAATAAGTTCTTTCCATTGATTTGGTGAAAAAGAAAACGGTCGTCGAATGGAAGGATAGGATTTTTGCTCGAAATTTGCCTCTTTTGCAACCATAATCTGTAATGGATTTGATGTTACATTGATCGATTGTCGACAATAACCACGACACATTCCGAACGAAACTCCGCTGGAAATTGATTGAACATCTTTTGTTTTAAAATCACCATAGGCTACTGCAAAAATTGCAACGATGACGAGATATTGCCATAAAGTTTGCATGGTTTCTATTTAAAATATCAATTGATTTTATATGAAGCACTTGAAAAATATTCACTTACAAAAAAAGAATGGTATGCGTATTTTTTTTTCTCGATTAAATTATATATACTATTGATAGTAATGAAAAAAAAATATCTCAAAAGCAAATATTAGTGAATTGGCTGCATGAAAAATTTTCACTTTTCTACGGACTTTGTTCTTTCATTTTTATTCGATTCAATTTTCGTAACATAAAATCGATGGAGTACTTTCTCTATAACTCAAAGAGCGGTATGTATTCTCTTTTTTTTTCTTTTCTCAAGTTTCAAATTGTACTATCGACTTTGATCTGATACAACCGATAAAAAAACCAGAAAAATGAGTCGTAATCTAGATGAAAAGCGAAAGTATTGACACATGCTGACGAGGGAACATTCTCAGGTGTTGAAGCCCTTCTCAGTCGAAAGCTTAGTGCATCTTGTAAACTTTGGTAAATCATGTCTATTCTGAAAAAAAATTCTTACCCACCGCGTTTTTCTCAGGATATCGAACGTTTTTAATGAATTTTGGTTATGGGACTCGATATTAGTAACAAGACCATATTGTCAAATGTCGGATCTCACAGAGAAAATTCACTAAAAACCTTTGATCTCCTCAGAAATGCTTCCCGGCACCTGCGGAATGTTCGCTTGTGAGTATTATGAAATTCCATTTCAGTTCAAGATGGAGCGAGTCAAATCAATTAGTCAAGCTCGATAACTATTTGTTAAGTTCAGCTTGAATTTCAACCATTTTACTGATTATTTCATTTAATTGAATTTTAATAACCTTCATATTGTATATTCAATCGAAGAGTTGCTGAACATAGAAAGTTATACAATAAACATAATATCTGAACTTCATAGTTGAAAAAAACAAGATTTTTAGACTTTTTTTAAAAGTATCTTTAATTTATTTTGTAAATAGAAGCATAGTATTCGTTTTGAATGATGGTTTAGTAGTGAAGCTCGTCGTTATATCTATGCGATAGATTGAGTTCAGATTATCATTAAATCAAGAATGACAATGGGAGAATTCAATATCCACATTCTGAAAGTGGAGCTAATGTACGACCCCAATGACGAAGAGCATTCTTCAATAATTGTTGAGTTTGACGAAATGAAGGTTGAGGACCATTTTGACTAGCAAAGGAAATACTTTTTTCAATGCCACATATTTCCAATGATTCTAACTTTGTAGAATCAACTAATTCTTTCATCATTTCAGGATTACCATAAACAGCTTTACCATCAATTAAGACAAGTAAAACATCTTCAGGTATAGAATGTGTAGCAGCCCAATATGGATTAAGCTTTGATTGATTATTATTCTGTTGTAGTACGAGTACATCAGCCAGATATCCTTCTTTTAATGTACCTAAACGTTTTTCAAGATGGACTAGTTTAGCTGGATTAATTGTTGCCATTTCTAATAGTAAACGATCATCGACAAGAGAATGTTCTAAACCACTATTCCATATAGCAGCATAGTTCAATTCTGCAAGTAAACCATCACTACCAGTAGGATTCCAATCGGGAGCAATAGCTGTAATAACATGATTTTCTAATGCTGCTTCTATATTTGTTGTATCACCATAGAGTTCTAAATTACTACGTAGAGACCAAATCAAACCAACACTAGCGTTAGCCATTGCACGAAAGTCATTTTCTTTTAAAGCAACACCATGAATGATCGATACACCTGGTCTTAATAAATCACGAGCTTTCAATATAAGAAATTCTCTTGCTGCTGTTGCATCATTCGGTGAACCTTCCGCAATATGAATAAATAATGTACCATTAGAAGATAAAACATCATTTGCTTCTTTCAGTTTCATATCTGTCATTTGTAATGGATAAACATTATAAAGAATCTGTCCAAGTGTTGGATCATCATCAAGATTACGTGCTAATCCTCGATTACAGGGTCTTCGTAAACTACCAATTACACTTGTGGCACCTTGCGTTATGGCTTTTACTTCTGCATATCGTTGCATTTCACATGAAAGACCAGCTTCAACTAGTCCTCTGTGTGGTGATTCGAGAAGAATCTTAAAAATTGGTTTTTGTTGCCAATCATAACGACTACCAAATTCTTCTGAAGGTTTCCAACGTGGAAAAATATTCCATGTTAAATGATTATGTAAATCAATAAGACCTGGTAAAATAACACCATTAGTATGTAGAATAATTGCATCATTTGGAATAGAAATACTAGCACCTACTGCTCTAATGTATCCGTCAACAATCAATAGTGTTCCATTGTTGATACTTTCGTCAGGTAAAAGAATGGTACCAATCAATGCAATGGGTTTATCTTGTGCTCGAACACAAGTAGCTAAGAGCAATATTACAACATAATATAACCATTGTAACATTCTTTGTTTTTCGAATGATCTAAACGTGCAACAGATGATATTTGATGACTTTGATAAATTGAAATCATCAGTAAATAGTAATTGTTAAGCCATTCCGTTTTGTGATTGACATTTATCTATTTTACATGTGTATTAAATCCAAACGGAATTATCAACGCATTCTAACTCCACCTCATATCTTAGATGTTAGTAGAAACATATATTATTTTGATCAGTTTAATAAAATTGCATGTGTTGAGATACATTTATGAAAATGATATTCAAATACATGGAAACAAATTTTTGTATCGTATATTAGTAAAAGTTGACAACTCTGTAGAGTAACTAAAGAATGAAGCAAAATATGTATAAGTAACATATATTCAAAAGATTATCAATAATATTATTAAAAACAGTCTAGACGGTAATACCTCATTAATAGTCACCATTGTAACCATTGACAATAACTTAATATAAAAGAGTTGAGATTTAAATTAATTTGTCGTTCTGTAAAGGTCTTGTAACGATAAATAATAAATGCACTTACAGAGACAATGTCAATATTGAGAAGGGTGTAGGTGTGGATGTAGATCTAGGTGTGAGTGAAGAGAACATGATCACCCACATTCTCATCTATAGATAATCTACTGTCGTTTAGATTAGGGAGTCGAAATAGAGTTCGATTAAAGGAGAATTTAGTTCGTCTCATCATTCCGATATATCTATCTTCCTATAAAAAAAAAAAGAGAACTACTATTTAAATTTGAAGTCAAATGTCATATGTGTCGGCGAGAATACATATTTCTTCTGATTATATTCGCGCGATAATCCATAAGGTGCATTTCATGTTAGAGCATATCATATCATATCTCTCTAAATCCTTAGATTTGACACAAAAATACATTAAAGTCTAAATAAAATTTTCTGCAGAATCAAAATTTTCTTCCTTGTTCCCATCTCTAAAATGAAGTACGCATGTATTGAAAAATTTTATACAGAATTTAGTTTCAGAAGAGAAAAAATCATATTTTTGTTGGAACTTCTCAGCACTTCTATATTATTACGTGCTTTAAAACTAACGAAGTATGATTTTTCCATTTTAAATTAATCTAATCGAACTCTTTTTTTCTGTGCAGAATGTTTCAAAAGTCACCAAACAGTCTTTGATGTCAACTAATTTCTCATAGGGCAAAAATTGACAAATGAAATCAATATGATTGAAAAGTATGCGATGTTATTTCTGATGTGCGTAAGTGAACACAACGATTCATAATGAATTTTATGAATTTCAAAAGCATTGGAAATTAGAATTGTCAACATGCGTTTCGGAAACTATTCGTTATTCATGTTGAAGCAGAGATTTTATCATTGTTCTAATTTAGTTTCATCAAATTTTTATTTTGTTATTATTGATATATTGGAACGCTTGAATCAATTAGTTTTTATTATGTTCAAATTTTTGTATTGTATGACAGAAAACTTCATATTTATTGTTGACAATATTTCAAAGATTGATTCTGATGAACTGCCTAAGAACAATATTTTTCTCCTTGTAACTAACGAGTTTTCTATGTACTACAATAAAAAAAAACAAATCTGAAAGAATCGAAGCAACTTTCATACTGGAAAAAGACGAAAACAAAAACGGTCATCCAGAATGATATGACATTTAATGGAGAACTCATCTTTCGATTGACCAATGAAATATATCGATGTTATTAAAAGGAAGTAAAAGAATATATGGCATTCAGTGATTGAAAAATGACGATAAAAGAAATCGAATCCATAGTGAATTGAAAAAAATACAACAGACGTTTATTTCCATGTAACTATATTACTGAAACCTCCATTTGTACGGTACTAACGATACTCATTTAACTATGAGCTCAAGATTGGAATTCACTAAATGACAGGAGCACGTATAGCTATTCAGGGATGGATGTATATTTGAGGGACGAGAGTAAAGATAAGGGTAATGCTGGTGTAGATGTAGACAAAACGTTCCTCATCATCGATATCTTCTCATCCACCTTCATGCCATTCTCTCTCTTGCCGTTAGCTTTGCAAACATGAGTTTCGCATCAATTGATGTCGATTAGTACTCTACTGTTCACGTTGATACGGGTCTCATTGTTACAATTAGAGATGCAGATTTTGATGCTCTTTGCACTTATACAAGAACGGAAATCTTCCGACTGTAATAATAATTAAATCATCATACGAAGACAAACTTGTTCAGAACGTGTTCGCTTTATTTCTTTTTCATTTTATATTAGGTCTCTAACTGCAGTGTACAATATTTTATATTTCTTTATTTGATAATATATTTTTCTTAATCAGTTCATTAATACGTTGAATCAAATCGATAACTATAGAATTATTTTGAAGATTGAGTTTGATGAGAGTCTATAAAAAGAAGAATAAAAATAAAGACATAACGAAGCAACAAACTAACCTTATTAGTTTGTAATGCATGAGA